GGGGGGGGGGGGGGGGGGAGCCCCCAGTCAGCTCCAGTTTGGATTTAAGAATGACACAGAAGTGAAAGTTGACGGCCTCTGCTTCCTTAAGAGTCTTGGGTTCAAAGAGGACACATTCACGTACCATTTTAACACGCCCAACTTCTTCTCTGCAGGGGTGCTTTGGAAGGTACAGGGATCTCCCCATAGCCACGGGGCCGCTCTGAACATTCACGGCTTCCCACTGAAGCTTTACCACCACCTAGACGCTCTCAGAACCACTTCAACTGTGCAGACTGAAATTTGGCTGCCAGCAGAAGGTCTTTTACCTAACTCCACTACCTAGCTTCTGGTATTTCTTCCACAAGAGTTAGCTGTTCCTACTACTCTATAAACACCATCTGAAATGGATTGTCTACACCACTTACTGGATTTAAACCACCTTGCTCAAGCCATAAATTATCATTGAAAGGACAACAGAAATTTGTGTCAGAACCTTCCATCTCCCGGAAGCAGCACTTCTTAGAAATCAGTGGCAACCTACTTTGCAAACCCTTAGTAAAACCAAGAGCACGTGTAAAAAAGATTTGATTGTATTTATACACTTTCCATTTCCCCAGTGACTGAGAATCATGTATTTTAATGATTAAAACTATACTTTTATACAAAGCATTCAGTATCAACTCTTAAGGAAAACAAATCATCTGTCTGCAAGTATTTGTAACTTTTCCCAATACTTCATTGTAACAAAAAAAAAAAATATCTACATGGTGCGGTATACCCAAATCCACATGGTATATCCTCCATATCAACTCACCAGAAAAGTGTGTGCTGCTCCCTTTGCCTGTTGCCAAATTGTGAATATTCATTCCATGGCTGGGACTCATGCTAGGACTACTGAATGATCGTGGGCTAACAGGGTAACTATCTTGAGATTTTGGACTGTGGCCTCCCAAACACCGCACTTCACTATCCGTACCATTCACCATCTCTATAAACTGGCGCACCCTAAACAAAAGGCAAAAAAGTTAAGCTAATAAAACAATTTACACATTTCAATTTACCAATGATAGCAATGTGTTAAATATACAAAAAGTCTGACTCAACAAAATGCTGGATGTCAGTAACCCAATCATCAATAAGCTTTGGAATATTCAACCAAAACCACACAATTATAAAATTTGTGAGGGAGGAGAACAGGAATGTTATCCTTCGAGGACAGATTTTATCAGTAAGTTCTCAAAGTTTATAGAACTAAACTATACTTCCTTGTTTTATTGGCAGGGGCAAGGTTATTTCTTGAGAAGGATATGTCATTACATTGCCATGTCTGTCATTTCTCTCAAAGTAAGTGAGAACATAGTTTGACTGTCTGGAACAGTAAGCATTAAACGGTAACTTAACATTAAACATTTGCACTAGAGAACAGTTTGAACAGCAAGCTTATATACAAACCTTCCCTTTAGAGGCTGTTGCTCTTTGTCAATTTTATTTTAGATAAGGAGGTTTTACTACGGACTTTAAGGAAGCTCAGAACTACTGCTTTATGTTTCAGGCTTGGATAGCCTCAACAGAACAGGCACAATTTAGAAAGACAGACTGAGAAAAAGATAACATACAGTTGACGTTATCAAGTGAAGTCTTTCATCAAAATGTTCGCATTTTGTGAATTCTGTCATAAGCCTGCAGTGCTGTCACGTGAATTCTGTTCAGCACTTGAGCGTGACAGACTTCAAACACATTCCAAGTTACTTAACTGAACATAAAAATTAAAGTGCTTTGTTCTTATAGGAGATAACAGATTTTTTTCCACATTCAAACACTGCAACATGATATAAAATTCTGTAGGATCAGCACAGCTGGCAAGTAAAAATGCCAGAATGAAGGTGACTATCGTGTGCCTGGGAAGCCAAAAGAATTCTTTGGGATTACGGAATTTCCACAGCATTAGCCAGAGGTTTCTAGTAAAGTGACATGGAGTGAAAACAGCTCATTTAAACTGCTCTTTAAAGTCAGTCACCCTTTTGGAGGAACAGACCAACTTATGCCAGCAGGACTCTTAACCTTCTTGAATATGATACTGTATCAGCTTACATTTTAAATTTTATTTTACACCCAAACTCATTAAAATTGATTAAAAAAATTACAAAACTTAGTTCTAAAGAACAAGTCTACAGTGAGACGTGAATTATGCTGCAAAACAGGACCCTGATGACAAAACCTAGTTAAACATGTAGCAAATAATATAGCATTAAAAAAGTGAACTATACACATTTTCTAAAAAACGCTGCTTTAACTTCGTTTAAATTTCTGTGAAAGCTTTAAATGAGTAACTGTCTTGTCTCAGAAGGTACTGTGCCATCTATAAACACACATCTGTATAATTTGAAGACTCACTTTAATGCAAATAAGAGATTAGGATTTCTTTCTAGTAAACTTGGATACAACTGTTGTGTTGTTTCAATGGCTTCTCCCATTCTTCCTGCTAAAACCAATTTCTGAATTCCTGTTCACCAAAAAACAAATAAGAGATTAGGATTTTTTTCTAGTAAACTTGGATACAGCTGTTATGTTGTTTCAATGGGTTCTCCATTCATCCTGCCAAAACCAACTTCTGAATTTCTGTTCACCAAAACCAACATCAGTTAAAAGGACAGCTTACGGATTAACACATATAAATTAATGATTAAAAGACACTGCAACCATCAATCAACAGGGTTTTTTCCTCTTAGGAAAAAATAGTGTAAAGAAAAATCATGCTTCCTTAAAATGTTCAATAGGAAAATTTAAGAACTGCACTCCACCTTCATGTATCTAAATGAGTACTCAGTATTTTTATTTATTGCCAGCATACAACTACTTGTAGTCAGATTGCACATTTAGAACTAGATTAAGATTGCAGACACTCTTCTGTGATATATTTCCCATTTTCACACCTTTATAAATAAGCACATACCAAACTATCGTCACCCAAGAACATCCAAATTGCATCCCGCTCCCACAGGTTCAATTTTGACTAAGAAACCCAAAATTTAGTCTCCCTCACCTACAACACATACTGCCAGTCAGGTTGACTAAACCCTTCCATAACAGTCCCTGCTTTAGTTGATGCTTCTGTTGCTGCAACCTGGCACAAGTTGCAAACAGCCTCACAGCTCTATCCACCAACAGAGAAAATGATCCAAATGAAAAACAGCCCAACGAATGGGATCTTTTTCAACCAGAGCAGTTTCCCCATGTGGCATGTCATGCAGTCACACAAATGCTTGCGTTCATACAGTAGGGATTTAAATGAACGGGGAAGGCACTCCTTAGTCAGGCTGCCAAACAGCACTGCCACAGCAAGTTAGTTAGAACTGCTGTTAGTTCTCCTTGTCCTCTTCCCCCTCACATCTGTAAGCACGAAAACTCAAAATTTGATTTCACTTCAAAAGCATTCTCTAAACTCCACCCCGTTCACAGTTAAGATAAGTCTAAATGTTGGTCAAGATTATGTTTTATACTCCTGTTTGTGACTGACCCTTAGCTCTCACAAACACTCATTTAGAGACATTACACACATTTGTTTAAGACAGATAACAGTTTTCCATTCAAGAGAAAGACAACAGGTAATTTACCACATTCCGCTACATCAAACAAGTTCCAAAGCGTTAGTAGGGAAGTTCATCTTAACCAGCTGTTCATATGCATGTAACTTTACATGACAGCAAAGAACTGTACTATGGAGTAGTGCTGAAAGGAAATTCTATGGTGATGCTTAAGAGCAAGTTTTATGTAAGATTTGTTAAGGGAGGAAAAAAGGATGCAACGTGCTTTCCAGCCTTACTTTGTCTATTTTTAATGGAAGCTAATTCTTCTAGCACAGTCTGGTCTGTGGATCTGGCGAATGCCTCTGCTGTTGCACAGTATCCATGGTGAACTAAGTAAGATGATACCATTCTAAAAATAAACAAAAACAAAACCCAGAAACACTCATTAAATACAGGTAAGAAACCAAGAACTTCTTGAATGTAAAAACCCTTTTCTGGAAAAAAGTGACTGAATTAAAAAATTCTACTTGAAATTCAGAAATTTTTTACAAGTTAGACAAAAGTAATTCAGTTAAGAGCCAGTATCTTCTTCAAAACACTGTACAGAAAAACAATAAAAAAAAAAATCAATGTATCATTTTATTACGATGAATGTTAATAAAAATGATTCATCACCCAAAGGTAGGCTCAATTAAAATATTACCTGCTCACTGAGTTTCTTCTTTTACTCACTACAAACACTGAAGTGAAATTTCGGCACACTGATTTTTTATTTTCACCATTTTTCCAAGTGAGATGCTAATGAGCCACAACTTAACCCAGCACGCTGAAGGCTGAGAACGTGAAGGGAAATTTCCAGAGCCCAAAGTATTAAAACTGCCAGTTACAACCATGGCAATTTTTCTAAATTCCCCAGTCCACATTAGATAGGTCAAATTGGAATGGAAGGCTTATGCTCATCGTTATAAAATCTTAATTATTAATGATGTAGATAACTTTTCCCCAAACATCTATTCATGCTCAATTTTATACAAGTTTATCAAACCTGTTAACAAAACTATTTGTACTAGTTTTCAATACTATCTGTATTTTTTTTTTTACACAAGACAACAGGTACAACGTTTTAAAGATCTCTGAAATCATGCAATTATTCACTTTTTTAAAAAAAAATGAACGATATTCAAAGTCTTACTTCTGAATCATTGTTTGCCACTCTCCTTCTCGATCTCCTATTGGAAATCTGTCAATCTGTGCTTGAATTTTGGTTCTCCATTCTCGCATATAATCTTCAATATCAAATACAAATGGGTGTTGTCCGAAATTAGCATCCACAACCTCTCCTGGTGTTTGAAGCCCTACTGTAGGGTACAAGTTTGGCTGCAAGAAATTTTTTAATTAGTTTTTTTCCTCTTATTCTAAATTCCCCACTTTTTTTTTTTCATCTCTGTAATAATATCCCCACTGCTACTAGTAGTGTGAAGAAGCAAATACCTCTGGATCATCTGTCCAGCAGTTAAAACAACTTCTACCAATTCAGCAATACAATGACTGATTAATGTTATTCCCAGTGGTTATTATTTTTTTTATTTTGAAATAAGAAAGCCTTATTGATCATTCTCTTTCTAGTCAGAAAATGCACTTTTTAAACTGTGCTAAAGTTTACAACTTTTGGTTTCAATTTTACAAAATATTAAATACCAATTTTTTAATGATTTTTAAAGACCAGGATTAAAGTTTCTTTTAAAAAGATAACAAAAATTAAACTTACAAAGTGGGCCATTTTCCTTTTGGGGTGAAATACTTAAAACATCGCTGAATTTTAGTGGTAAGAACTGACAGGATAGAGAACTCATTAGCCTCAAAGTCCAAGTGTAGCGCCTAAGAAGAACTGTAACAGTGCATTGAAGTTCTCGTGAATTCCTGGACTTGTATCTAGAAAAAGACTTTAAAGCATTTATTGTTGTCTCAGTTTTATTTTCTGCTTAGAGATTAGGTCTCCATGCAAATTTGAAATATGCCAAATACGAGAAAAGTAAAATCTGCCTGTTGGGATTAAAGTAACTTTCTTAAATGCAACTAGCATCTCAGCAATGGCAGTGCAGTCAGTTGGGGTTTTGGGTGGGTGGGGGGTGTTGAGGTTTGGGGGTTTTTTTAATTTATAAATATACCTGTATCATATTTACACTGCAATCAACGGTGTTATGGTATAATGGTATGCTGATCTATGTGCTAAATAAATTAAACTTATCAGTAAGAAGTTATCAACATGCAGGCCAGTAGGAACACTGAAGCCCAGTGAAATTAAAGAAAAATACTCTGGTTGTTAAAACGACGTCCAAGCTGACCTTGCCACCATTCCCACACTGCCCTTCCTCTTTTTTTTTTTTTTTTTTAAAGTAAACTTGCTCATAGCATTACCTAGTCCAGACTAATCAACAAAGCACAAGTCTCAAATCTTTTAATGAGATGAAAACACTCAATTCTAATGAGGAGGGGTCCAGTTTCAAACTTCAGATTACAATGCCACTTTTTCTGTGCTAGCAAGGAGCCCTGCTGGCATCCCACAGATCTGGGACAGTGGCAGTGGCTTCCTAGAGGAAGCACCCAACCCTGTGGCTGGGCAGAGAGGCACCCTGGGTTATTGACTTCATTTTTCCTTAATAGCTGTCCTTGCCTCCTAAGGCCACAGCAAACAAAGTAGCCGGCCGGATGGAAGTGCACCCTAACCAGATTAAATCAGAAATGAAGTGGATGAGGAAAAACCAGAAAGTAAGTGCAGTATTGTGCCTGTACCAGCAGCATAGGGAACACGTTTATAACGATTCTAAGGAAAGTACAATTTAATTGACTGAAAAGCTAGAAGACTTCAGATATCTGCGGCTTTCTTTAAAAAAAAAAAAAAAAAGCTTTGGTATGTTTCATCTTATGGAGTGAACAGTAGAGAGAAAGATTTTGAAAATTAGGCATCAAGCATGAGTTACAGTGACCATGTCGTAAGTAGCCAGCCTTTCTGCATATGATACGCAGCTGTACATACATGCACCACGTTGGTGTTTAATGTAGCTTTGACTTTGTAACACCTGTATGTCAAACAAAGTATGTAGTAACTACTTGTATGTACTATTTTCTGCTAAATGTCCATTAGAACTGCCTGTTAAAAACCTGAAAAGGAAAACCCTGCGAGGATTGGTGCAAAAAAAAAATAAAATTCTTTATTTCAATTAACGAATCACCACTGAAATGATGAGGAGAAATATCTGATATTAAACTGGTTAAGATTATCATTGTACTTTCAAGAAGCGTAAGTAAATGCAAGTTATGTCTGAAACATCTGTTTATAATACAAAGGAAAGCTGTTAGAAAATGTACTTATCTTACCGGTAAATCTGTGAAAGCGATGCCTGTAATGAAGAGAAAATTAAGATTAATTTCTCTATGTCTGGATTCTAGCCTCATTTTATTAAGTGTATCATTATACGTTCAGAAAACTCACCCAAACCATCTCAGAAATAAGTAGTTAAGTATGGTGATATCCATGATGCTTAGGCACAACTGATGTGCTTGAGTAATAAAGAGCAATATTTGGCAAAAATTAATTGTCATTCAGAAGTACTCAGTTTTTCAAAACAGGGCATAAGATTTAGCAAACATCATACAGATATGCAGATTAGAAAGTATGAAAATTCTGGCTACAGAATAAAATTAAGAGGAAAAATAAGAATATCTGAAGGTATCTTTTCACTTGCATGTCTTGATGCTGTAACACCAAGCTTTATCAGTGTCTTTTCTTTTTTGCACCTGCCTATAATACTCCAAAGCAGTCCGGTAAATGTTTCACTCTAATCCACGCCAGGGTGTTTTGGTTTTCAAACAGAATAGCTTAGTATCTTGTTATATAATTACAAGCATCCATCTACCCGTAAGACCAAGGCAGTGATTTTGCTGTCTCAGGATCAAGAGAAAAATCTGACCTCTATACACTTCAGGAACTTCACGCAATTTTGCGGGGGGAGAGGGGGAGGAAGAGCATAGCTTTCAGTTAAGAAATAAATATCAGGAAATCTCCTTCTGACAGCCAAATTATAACAGTATTTCATAAGTTCCTTTATTGTTGCAAGTATTTCTTCAAATTTATTTTTTTACAAGTGCATAATAATTCAAATCCACTTATCCCTTCAAACTCTTTATTTTCTATCACTGCCTTTTCAAATTTAAGATTAAAACAAAGCTTTTAACCTTTCGTCCTAAATTCTCCCCCTGCTTTCCATCTCCATTCTTCACCAGGATTTCAAATCCCAAGACCATATGGATTCCTTACTCACATCTTTGATACAAAAGAATGATATATAGAGTGACTCTGTTTCCTCCCATCACAATCCAAAGGTATCATTTTAGTTATTACCTGTTCACATCCTAACTTCTTCTAAGCTACTACCACCTTCTCCATTTGGCACATTTTGACATCCAACTTGCCCCTTTCCAAAATAACCATGGCAGTAGGTAGGTAGTAGACAAGACAGATAAATGATGAAAAAAAACACTTGCATAAGTAATTGCTTAGCTCTTTTTGTAGCATTAAATCCCAGGCTGAGCCAGAGACTTCCAATACTCTAGACTGCATTTGTGGCCCAGAGAAGAAACATAAATGTCCTCCAAGTCACGATCGTATAGGAATTCTGGACAACTAGCAGCAACGACAACTCAGCAAGACAGCCAAAATTTTAAATTTTTTTCCCCTAAACACAGAATCCATTTTCCTCTGTCAGAAATTCAAGCTAGCAAATCCCACGACAGCAGAACAGCTGTCAGGTTTCCTTCTGAAATCCATAAAGTGTTTGTCAGACTCTGTCTATGATAGATGACATTTTACTAGCCTCTCCTCACCTATGTCATTCTGTTCTCCTCTTTAAACAGATTTTAATCACTTGGAGTGTTGTTTCACAGTTGGCCTAATCCAGTCTGCTTTAAGACTTCCACTGAAAGGGACAGTTCTGCTCCCCCCTTCCATGCATGTGACCGTAAGAGCAGTCAGAAAAAGAGTGCCTGTTTAGTTGACCAACAATCTGATCCAACTTACCTGCAGGTACACTCTTACTAGTTCCAAAAGGGAATAAGGTAAGACTACCCTTCTCAGCTTTAAGCCAGTTAAAGATTAGGGTAAACACAACACAAGCCTGTTATCTTCCATGTTGACATACACCCTGAAACAGGGCCAAAAGAAACAACCACACAGTTCAAGTGTCCCAATGCCGCAGGCATCAAGGTATTAAGTCCAGGTATATAGACTCATTCAATTTAGAAGAAACATTAAATCATGATAGAATGGAATCACAGAAGTGATTACTTGGAATTGACCTCTGGAGGCATCCAAGCCCTGCTTTAAGTAGGGGCAGGAAAACTCCAAAGTTAGATCTGTTTGCTCAGGGCCTGAGCAAACAAACAGGCAGTCTTGCTCTGACAGACAAGGAGAAGTATTTAAACCACGTCCTTCCCCTTACTACTTTCCAAACCTTCCTCATGTTTGGCAATATGAGAAAAATAGAACAGCAGTGACTTCAAGAGTCCCTATCTCAATAACCTCTTATTTAATTTCAAGCTAGCCTCTCTTTTCCGTATTACATTTTTACCCATGACAAAACCACGATTTCTTCTTTCTGAGCTTTATCCCTTGAAACATCCTACTCCCCTCAGCACAATTCCAAGATCTCTTCTCAAGCCCCTGCTCTCTCCTTAATGCAGGAAGTAGATTTTTTTCTTTTCTTTACACTCTGCATCTTTGCTCATTAAATTGCCTTAAGTAACTGAATTATTATATATATTGCATCAAAAATTTTAATGCTACCCCCCTCCTGACATCTTCAAACTCAAAAATTGTCTTGCAGTGTTGCATAATACTAAAATTCACCACACAAATTTAATGGACTTAATTTTAGCACAACTTGTATAATTCATGGCTTTAGCCCAACTATGCATGACTCCAGACTGGGAATCCAAAAGGCACTGTTCTCCAACATATGTTCAATATAACACCCATCCAATGTAAGGTTTTAGTGAAGGCGAGGTGTCCCCCATACAGCAGCAACGAATTTTAGCTATAGCCGTTCTCCATTTCTCCAATTTTCTCATTATCTATTACCTTAGAAACATCAAGTATTATTTGTGGATTTAGTAGTGGAGCTCATAAATGCAGGTCCTGTGGAATGAGATGCTGTGACAAATCCTTCCAAATTCACAAGGAATGTTAGTGCAAGTGGCACACAAGAAATTATTCTTCCCAATTCTTTAATTAATTAATAGATTATGAGGCTATCAAAAGAACTATTCAAACACTTTGCTCCTGACATGAAGAGAGCTTCAGATTTACAACAGACTTAAGACATAATGTTATCGTTAAAGATAACATTTCTCCATACCCAAGCTGTGTCCATTCTTTGTGTAGAAGCAGGTATTATTGATAAGGTTGACACAACAACCAATGACATCACCCGTAGTAAAGGTTGGGCCGTAGGGTTGTCCAGTTCCAGAGGAACAGAATGAATGTCCATCATCTCCATGGTAACCATATGAATGTTTATCCCAACCTGGAGAACAAAAGCATTTGCAATGTGTTAGTTTCCCTTATTATGAAATAATGGAAAGAGTATGCAAAGTTAGTATATTCTAACCAGGTTAATATGGCTAATTACTATGCTCAGCTTTCTTTCTAACAAATCTGTTTCATTTAAATAAAATGACAACTTCTTTTATCAAAATGGCTGAACAGGTAATTCCATTTGTAGTACATATCAGGTACTGCAAATTCAGGTAACACATTTTTCTCTTTAAGTGAACACACAGAATTATCAACACCAAAAATATAACCTGCTACAATGTTGAAATTTGAAAACCTATATGCAGATCTGACATGTCCCAATAAAGCACTGAAGATTCTCCTGTTCTCGCTTTCATCTTGCAAAACTATTGCTACCATATGTCATAATCAAATTCTTCCTGGCTAAAACCCAAACATGCATCTCTGGGGAACACGTTTCTACTCCTGATTATTCTCAGTGACTGTTCCACAGCAAGCAGTCTCTGCATAACAGCAGAATCTCCAGACTATAATGTCACTAGCTTTGCTGCCCCTAAAAATTAAAAAGGAGGAAAAAAATGATCAATACAGGTGAAAGTCACAGCCAGCAGGCAAATCATTATGTAAGCAAATATGGCACTAATTTTGCAGGTGAAGAAGCTGCAGAACCAGTCAAGAAACTTCATACTGTTACACTACTCAATGAAATCCACAGCAAGCAATTTTAGTCTAAGCTCATTTAGAAATATATGTCCACACTCTCTGCAATTCAATACTAAACAGAAACACACAGAAAAGGAGCAAACTTTCAGGTGCCACAAAAATCTTCCTAACAGATCTACTAAATGCCTATTCAAAATAATATAAATCATGGTCTTTAACATAAATTGCCAAATTTCACATATATATATGTGTGTGTGTGTGCCTTCTGACTGTAAGAATTTATACTGACAACTCAAATTATTTTTAAAGAGTAAAAGGTTGTGTGTTTATTCTTCTTTCATCAAGTTGCTGCCTAGCAGGTTAATTCGAAAGTCTTTTCCATACTTAGGCCCTTAATCTGTATGATCAGTAGCTTCAGCTGGCACCACGTTCAGCATCTCTCAGTAAATTAAATACCCCAAATTACTGCATTTACATTGATTAGTAGTATCTCTGATAATTATTTGAAATGCATCTTAAATCATACTCAAACTTAATGCCACCCACTAACAATTCATCACCCTTAGTTGGGCTCACAGTGTAATTGGGACTTGCCATCATCATAAGGATCTCTACCAGAACATTTGGGCAAGAAAGTAACAATGAGAATACAGATACTCTAAAGTCAATTCAACGTGATTTTATACTTGGCTAATAGTAACAATTTCAAAAAATCAGATGGGTTTTTTTGTTTGTTTTTTACTTTTTAAGATCTATTGAAAAAACAACATGTACACAAACACACACACAGAACTTCTTTAAATACTACACAGAGCTACTGCAGACAACTGTTAACAAGACAGTGTCCCTGACCATACAGGTCAACAGAACAATCAAAACTTAAAACTATGCTACACATCCTTACTATTAAGGGTGGAAAGGTAGCGGCACAGAAACTGACAGTAGGAGAGCTCACTCCATGTTTGACAAAACTTTTGTCATAGTCGCTCATCTTTATTGCTAGAAATTCAGTTTATAGAGCAAGGAAACCTATAGCTTCCTTTTTTTCAGGAAACATGATGAAAATTTTAAAATTTGTTTGTTTGCTAAAAACTATCTGCATAATGTTATAAATAACACTAAGAGTTGAGGGAAGTAGTACAGGAGCAAATGTACAGTAAAAGCTAAACTTTTTAGCTGCAAACTTTACATAATTCGGATAACAGACACAACACAGAGATGTCATGCTACACTCTCTGTTGCTTACCAGAACCTTCCCATCAAGGTCAAGCATATTTTAAAAAACCACCATTAATCAACATAAGAAACTTATCAAATGTAATAAACACTGAAACATACCCGGTAGTCTGTTCATGTTCACACCCTGTGCCGAAAGCCCAATTCCCATGTAACTGTAAAAATGAAAGAACACAAGAAATTTATCTGTCTCTTACAAAAATACATATGTATGTGGGGTATTGCCAAGAAACACTTTGCTGATTAATCATATACCAATTAAGGTGCTGAGAGGTCATTTAACACTGGTGTAACAGCAAGGGAGCTGAAAAGTAATTCCGAGCATATATCATTTAATATAGGCAGATTCTGTCCCTGCAGGAGGTAAGGACAACGTTCTTCTCTTTTAGGCATCCTGGGCTATCAATGGAGAATCATGGAATCATAGAATCATTTAGGTTGGAAAATACCTTTAAGATCAGAATACTGATATTAGCCATAAAGTTTAAAGCATGAACAAAGAATGACAAAGGCCATGCCTTATTTTGGAAATCAGGGTAAAGCTATACACTTACCAATTTCATCATCTTCAACATACCTAATCATGTTTTGCAGACCATCTGGAATGAGTAATTTTAGAAAATACATGCAAAACTGTGCATTATTGCAGCAGCAAAATGCATCCTTGCACAGCACTTACAAAAAGATCACACTAAAACATTAAAGGCCTGGATCATAGAGCAGAATGCTATCTTGCGAAATTTACCAGCAATGTTACTGAGCTGTTGCCAAAGTGAAGAGGGAAAATATTTTTACTATACTAACCAATAATCTTAAGTCTAAACAAGTCACGGCTAGATCAATGAAGTCCAAAAGTCAGCTTTACAAAAGGTAGTTTTAATAAAGTCAGTGTTCAGTATGATTAATAGCTAATACTGGAAAGCTGAAATGAATGATCTCCCTACCCCGACATCACACTATTTGAAGTTAGTAAGATCAATTTTGCTTCTGTTTCTTAAGCAAAACTCATTTAATGAGCAAGATGACGGGAATACAGAAAGAAAAACAGCATAATGAAAAGCTAGGCTTTCACCAACTCCCCCCTGTCCAAAATAAACCAACCCCCCCTCATCAACTAAAGCGAGCATCCAAAAATCACCTAAACCTAACATTTCCTAGTTTATCAAAACATTCAAATAATTTTGACACTAGTTCAAAATTAGTTGATGTAAATTTGTCATGAAATAATAAACTGTATGAAAAAAAAATACTCACCCATGCCAATTTGACTTTTAAGTCAACAGACATGACCTTTGCATTCCCATCTGACAAAATGCAATTTTTAAGCAACTATTCAACTAGGAAGTACAGGTTAATATGCTCTTTTAAATACATTCCACACAGCATGAAACTGAGCAGCAAACCTCAGAAGTCATATGCTTAATCATGTACTGGGCTTTCTGCTTTTTCTATTGATCAATTCCAAGAGTAACCTTACCTGCCTCCATGTTTGATATTTACAAAGCCCTGCACCTGATAATTTCTAATGTATGATACCATCCTCCTCTCCCTCCAACATACCAGCATGAAATGGAACCTCAGAACCATGTATAGCAGATACTACGTTTTAGAGATAATGAAAAGCCGAAGCAAAGGGCAATAAACAAAAGGATTAGTCTTTGCTGCATTGCTAATTACGTTACTGAGGCACCACTGCAGCAGCAGAGTCAACAAAACAATTATAAGTGAAAGCAACAAGTGAAAAACCCTTGATTTTGTCTTAAACAGTAAAGGCAGAATTGTTCTTAGCATAATCTGGAGTTCGATGCATGAAGGATTCTCATGTAAAGACTGAAAATCTGTTATTGTAAAGTCTCCTGTTAAGGAAAATTTATTAACAAAAGGAAATTTATTTTTAAAAATAATTTTAGATAACTTAAAGAACTCCAACTGCAAAAAGCCTTTCAATGTGAGTCATATTAAAACCACCTTCATCCCAATCAAAGTTTTATTCTAGCATTCTTATAGAAACAAGATTAAGTTTACACAAAAATATAAGATGCTAGATAGATTACCATCATCATCTAGGTAGTATTTCAGTACCACGTTTTTCCTTCCCAGGTATCATATCTTCTGAGCTTCCTTTTTAACTCAGTAACAATTGTAAACGGGAATCCACTATATTTAATACAGCTGTGAACAAGGATTCCTTACCCACTAGCAGTGACTAGAAGGCACTAGGTACTGACACCATCTCAGTAAGAAAATGGATGTTCAACAGTATATGTTTTTCCCCAGGATTCATTTACAACTACATGAAATGTTAACACCGTTTCATCATGGAGACTTGGTATTAATAGAAACTCAAGTAAAAGTAGATTAAAAAAAATCCAAATCATTAACACATTTACTGCAGACATCTTTCAAAAGGAAAAAGGCATGTCTACAATTTATGGTTTGGAAGTGAGTGAAATTAGAGGCTCATCAATTAAGCTAATTTATTATTTGCTATAGTTGATGGATAGCTAATCTCATGTTCAACTAGATATAGTACACTATAGTTGAGGGGCAAAACAGTACCATGACAGATGGACTTCAGATGCTCTAAAATTCATCAACAGGAGTTGTATTTATGCCAAACCGCTACATGTAACCTTTTTATTTGTCTTTTCCTGGCACCTGTAAGCTTCACAGGACTTTTTTGTTTGGTTTTTAAAGAAGCTTAGCCCATACTTAGGTCCCAAGTCCCTGTCTGCAAAAAGACTTGCTTCAGTGGGAGGAATTACATAAAATGTCCTCCTGCTTGCTTCCTTAAGGTTCACATAACATGCGCCTCAGAATCGGAACAGTGGCAGAGCTATGCATTTAAGTTTTCCTCCCTGAGTCCACGATAAGAATGCAGGGCAGCACAACAGGCAGATATGTTGGCACCCAGGTGCAATGCAGGCCCAGATTGTTCTCAGTCAGTTCATGATGCATTTCCTGCTGTCCTGTCACATGAATGGGTTTGGTCTAGGAGATAGCCACAGACGAGAAGAACAGGTCCACTTAGACTATGTCACACCTTAACAGCAGCCCTGGGGAAACAGAGGTATCGACACCAGGAAGCAGCACACTCACTCTGACATGCAGCACCTTCCAAAAATGGACACGACACAGCACAGTTCGAGAGACTGGAGAGGGTGAATGATGGTGTGGTTCTGATGTTGCCTCCCTCATCACTTCCCTCCATACCTGTGGATGGTGCCTCCGCCTCAGCTTCCCACCCATAAACATCCCTGGCTGCTGCCATGGGAGGATCACTTACCTAGGCAAAGGGAAGGAAGTGGCCTGGAACCCTTTTGAGCATTTCGCTCCCACCAGTTGCTACTCATCACCTCATTAAAATGTTCAAGTCTTACAGGAGCTCATAAAATTACAAACTACACGTGAAACGACTCATGGAATACATGAAATCAACTCATGAGAGATTGAAATAAGAGACTATAGCTGAAAACCAATTTAGAGTGCAGCCAAATTGGTATTAAGGACCAAGAAAGCAAGCACATCTTATATAACTCTTGCTTTTTCATTTCAAATTGTATTTATTCTTGTTCCAGTTCATTAAAGATAGAGAGTAACATTTTAGTGTCTCAGCACATCAAGTTTACATTTCACAACTGCAAGTCATATAGAAATTTTTAGGAATACTACAAAACTACATTTTAAAACTTGCTGAATTCTCAGCTTTTTGCCACAAAGCAAAAGAAAAGTCAATGTCAAAAATACAGGCACTATGATACCTTTTTTCTTCCCCACTAACACAGACTGAAAAGCCTAGGTTTCTCTGCAGTGAAATGTGTAAGAAGCAAGCTCACAGTAACTATCTTCTTCTCAAGTATTGTTCCAGTCAAAGAGCTAAATTCACATTTTTGCTGGAGCCTGAAGTTTCTACTTGGATGCCTAAACAGACTAAGTGTGAGAAATAAAAAAAACCAGAACTAAATAGAAGGAAAAAATAGCAATAAGAGATGGTATGGAATAGGAGACTGCTAAAACATACGGAAAAAGAAAAAACACGGCAGTTCATAAAAAAGATTCAAATAAAAATGAGAATTATGTAACTGTTCCGTTAGATCTCTTAGCCACTGAACTGAAGGTGTATGGAAGACCTTTCAATATGGAGGTTGATAATAATCAGAATTCAGGTTAATTATATCCTATCCCGCCCATTCCATAAAGAGGAATACAGAATCTCAAAAACTATACCAAATCATAAGTACCTCAGAAAGCTTACTAGTGGCTAAAGATAAATTTAAGTACTAAATAACCACCTCTCTAGTTAAAAAACCAAACATTCCATACTGTATTTGCAAAGACAAAGATATGCTATATTATTTTACTTAAGTAACGAAAAAAACCCTAATAGCCTCCCTACTACAGAGATTTCATTAGCAACCTGCTATCTGCAAAGAGTCAAACTCCTCCTGACTTTCACTGTGCCTACGTGTTCTATTAAAGACAGCATAACCTGGGGAACTCCTACATCATGCTTTGAAATCCAAGCTCTTTTGGTGATGATGAAAGCAAATAATCAGCCTGGTATCTTATCACCCACGTGCTATACACATAAAGAAAGCAACTTCAACCAAACAGCGTTAAAACCTAAGTTACTGTAATATCTGTAGGGAACCTAAGCCCAAGCACTAACTGACGTTTACACCCATAAATAAGGCATCTGAAAACATCCTAATGTTTCAAATGCATCGACTAACAAGAAAGGCAGAATTAGCATTCTGAAAAAAATGTAGGCTATACAACAGGTGATTTGTTTTCCTATCAAGTTCATATCTTAAAAAAGGGTATGAGTAGAAAAAACTGCAACATCTGTAAGGATTTTAAATGATCTTCTAAAGGGCCTTCACAACTTACAAGGACGTAAAAAGTTTGAAAAAATATTCTGTAGTTTTCTACACTGTCTTCCCTGACACTATACTGTGAGGTCAGAAATACAGCACATTAAAAGGGTATCTAAATTTGATTTTTAATATAGTTACCCTGCATTAAAGTTTTGTAGGAATATGCTAATCCAAGATTCTTATTGTCTGCACAATCACAATAAGAAATGAGCTGTTAAATTTTTCTCTATTTAAATGTTTCAAAATATGCCATAGACAGTTTGAGTCTTTCATTTCAA